GGCTAAAAATATTTTAAAGACCCGACTGATCACTTCTCTTGGCCTCAGCTTAGACCACTAAAAGTCACTACATTTAAACAACTGGAGATTAGGATTCAATCTTAATATCTGCAGCAGAAATTTAAAGTTTGATCTCTGAAAAGCACTAGTCATCTGCATGTTGTTATCAAGCCGCAAGAAACAGTTTTCAAGTATTTTGGGTTTATCTTAAGAGAAGGATTAATCCACATTGGGTGCTCTGGTTTTTGTGGCAGTTACTGTATTTGTGATATCAAACATGGATGTCTTTTTTTTTCTCACTGAACAGTAAATCCAGTGAGGCGCTGCCTAAAGGAGTGCCCAGTAGGAGGCGACTCCTCACCTAACCTCTGACCTCAGCAAACACTGACTGCTGCTGGTTTTTTGGGCCTGTTAGAGTCAAAGAGGCAATGAAGCAGAGGAGGGTTTAGAGACTGAATTTGCATTTCTTTGTGTCCCTTTAGATCTAATTCTAGACATTTTAAGTGTTTCTATGTTCATTTCGTGTCTTTTCAGGATTGTTTTCTGTATATTTTTGGTCATTTTTCTTAATTTTATTCAATCTGCTTGCAGTTGTTCTTTTAATATGGTGGTCATTTGGTTGTTTTATATAAGTTTTAAAACATTTCTTTTCACCTTGGTGAATTTGCAGTCATTTCACATCAGGTCTTGGTTCCTTTGTGCCTCTCCAGCATTGATTTTGTGTCTTTGGTGAAGACTGAGGTTTTGTACCTCAAGTGGTAAATTCTGGACCAATGCTTATGGTGAAAAACAATTCAGCTGATTGCTGAGGGTAACATTTGTTCAATTTATTTTGTTTCCTGCCAGAAAAACTAAGAAACCTTTATTGTAAAAAGTGACAAACTGGTTTTTAATTCTTTAAAGCATGGATCACACTGGCTTTGCACATTTATCCAGCACAAAATTACTGCAGCTGATTGAATAAATATGAGACTGCTCAATCATTGGATACTGGGCGGCATTGAGCTGGTGCACTGAGGTCTCTCTAAAGGCCAGGTCACTGACGATATGAAGAGCTGGTTTGGGAGCCTACAGCTGACATGTGTCATATGTTCAAACATTACTGCAGTTATTGTTTGACAGGTTTAGAAACCAACTGGTGAACAAAGTGGAGAATTTACAGCTGTCAGTTTGTTGAGGAGCAAAAAAACTGCATACTCACTGACTTAAGAATTGTCAATTACAAGTCCTCAGAAAAATGCATTACCCCCAAAACTGTGTTTTTATTCAGCATGACCCCAAAATCAGTGACTGAGCCGTGAACTCGTCAAGGAAGTGGTTCCCTGGCCTAGCCCCTGGGTTTAATAGAAAAAAAAGCAGATTTAGCTCCACCCCCTTTAAGACACGTTTCTTCTGATTGGCAGTCTACTACAGCCAGGGTGTGACAAGCAGGTGGGTGTACCTGAGATGACCATATAAGGAGATCACCCCTCTGTGACATCACAGATCCAAGAGTAAAAAAAAAACAGTATTTCTGAGCAGTCTGAGCTTTTGGCTCACAGGGATTTCTATTCATACACCAACCTGATCTGTGTTTACAGTGAACATCCACCTTTAGTACAGGAAACCTATGACAAGAAAATAAAGAAAGCTGCTTTGTGAGCGTCTCAGTGACAGCAGTCAGATATTTACGGCTCTAGCCGACATTTTAATCTTCTAATTTAATCTACTGTTGAATTTGTCTAGAATATGTAAAAAGCTTTATTCCTAACCCCACAGCCCCAAGTGACATCATCAGTGTCCTTGTGTTTACTTGTACTTCATTAGAAAAAATAAAGCATCTTTGAAGCAGGTAGTGTTTAAGCTTTGGTTTCCTGTTGGTAAATGTGATTTATCTGCTGTCATTAGTGTGATCTGAAGACTGATTAAGTCTTTTTTTGCTGTAGTCGAATGTTTGAGCTGAGGCTCCTTCACCCACTGGGAAAAAAATTCAAAACAGCTTCTGCATAAAAACCCAACAGAGTATTTGAAGGGGGTGACTCTGTGTCAACGGGTGCCTTTTTTTTCACTCTCTGGGCTCCTCATTCTGGCTGAGAGAGAGGGAAATCAATAGATCTCAGTTGGCTCATTGATCGTTTGGTCTTTGGAGACTACTGTGGTTGGCTGTTTTGGTCTTTAACAACAATCAACCTCTGTCTACGCCACACTCATCTCTCCTGCCTGTGTGGACGAGCAGACTGTGTCATCACAGCAACACTAATGAAGTTGTGACAGTTTAAAAGCACACAAACACCCAAAGATACCATCTTTTAATGCCAGGAACAAGATGATGATAAACGCTGTGATGACTTACAGTACGACTGGTTACCCACAGACTCTTCTTCCTATTTTTCATCCCTGAGGGCAAAACTGGTTTTACTGTTAGTATCTTTAAATGTTTTTTAGACAGAAATAGGAAAAAGGCTTGGTTCCTTGGATACAAAAAATCCATAATAACCTTTCAGCATGTAGTAATTTATCTAATCAGAGCTCTTTACTGAGCAGGTCAGAGAGAAGAAGTCCAGATAGAAGCATGTGGCTCCAACATGAACGAGAACAACAACCTAAAAATGTTAATCTGTCGCGTAAAAGTAAGAGGCAAAACCTGCAGTTCCTCTAGCATCCACTAGAGACCACTAGAGAAAATGTTAAAACTTCACAGCAGAGATAAATAGCGTGATGTAACTTACCTGTTTGAGTTGTATTAAGGCTTAAAGTTTGCGTTATTAGTGGTGTGGCCTCTTTGACTAACACGTGGACAGAGTCTCTGAGCTGGGCCTCTAAGCTGTGTTTGTGCTGTTGGAGCAGTTTTAATGACACTATTTGACCAATAATATGGCTGCTGTGAGGTTACTGTGCTAACAGACTGTCCAAGACGTCCGTGAGTGAAATGCTGGGATTTTATTTGGATGTTACTGAGCACCGTGTAATTAATGACTAAATTATCTTGAATTAGCTTATAACTCAACCCTCTTTCCCTATTTTAAAGGTTATGAAGGGTAAAACTATCCACAAAGGCCAAAATTCATGTTTATTTGTATGGCAAAGACATTTTAACAAGCGAGACTGTAGCCAGCTCCTAGTGGGCATCACAGGAAATGCAGTGTTCTGTTTTGAGGTTTTGGTTTTGTTCAGTCACAACCAAAAAAAACTTTCAGAGTGAAATGTGTAAATCGTGTCATACTTTTACGTTTTACATGTTAGCAGAGCAACAACGGCATGAAGGTCTGCCATGGGCATGAAATCCAGTTGTTTCAGCCTGAGTCATAATGGTGAACCGACCAAACGAGTGTTTATTAAGCTTGCCTCAGCCACTCAAAGCCATAACTAGTGAAACTAACTGGAAACACTAACTCCATCTCTGAATACGCAGTTATCTCAGCTAAATCCTCACATCTGTCTCACCATCTGTGGGATGTTTTCAATTACTGCATTTCTAAATCCAGACTGGCGATGCTCCACTCTGAGAGAGACAGATATTTGAGATAGATATAAGTCCGGTATTAGTTCCTGTGTGAAAGCAAACCTGACATCCAGAAAAACAGAGGATGTTTCTGAGAGTGTTGCGCTCTCTCGATCCGCTAAGAGGCTTATCTCATGCAGCATGTAACAGCGAGAGAACAACAAGGAGCCAGCGGCGAAATAAAACCTGATCTGGATTGAATCATCAAGCCACCGGAGTGATCGAGCATCACTCAACCTGCAGAGAGAGAGAGAGAGAGATGAAACCATAGAAACATGCCACGTAGCCACAGGCTGCACCACATGACCAAAAGTATGTAGACACCTGAGTCGCTGCTGGATAGAGTTCAGGTTAGGACATCAAACTGTTTCCCAAAGTGAAAGGTTTTCAGCAGGAGGGTTGAACTCAGACACGACACTCCTGCTGGACGTCCTTGCGCCGCTCTTTGGCTCCATTACACATGCGTCTAATCTTATAGCTTAAGTTCTGCAAATAAACCCCTAAAGTCTGACGACCACATGCTAAAACTGTCCACACTCATGGCTAAGAAGGATCAAGCTTCTGCAGTCTGTCCACACAAATGTGTCACTTTTGCTGCACCTCGCGTCTACATTTCTCCACCATCTCCAGAGATGGGCTCTGGAAATGCTGCTGAATCTTGGCACACACATCTCCACAGAATCCAGCCAAGGAGGTTCACCTGTCCAGAAGCTGTTGACCCGTTAAGAACTGCTGACCCATTAAGACCTGACATAGATACAATCCCAAAGCATGTGCAAGTACAACAAAGACTGTCTTATGCAGTTTTAAAAACACATAACCAATAAAGAAACTCTAACCATTTAAAACAAATCTTAACTTTTAGATTTTCAAGAGCAGGGAGCTTTGATCTTTCATCAGCTGTGGGTAGCTTCCTCTGTAGATGTGATGAGGTGAGGAGCTCATAGTAGAACCCAGAGCTTCTCCACCTCAAGACGAGACAGCTGAGGTGCTTCACCAGGATTGGTCAAACGAAGAGGAGACCTCTTCGTTTGACACAGGACACCCTGGAAAGACTCTCAGCTGACCTGTGACCTCTCTGAGGAGCTGGAGGGGGAAGTGTGGGTGTCTGGGTCTGATTGGACCTCTTCCCTGTGGTCACATCTGGCTCCATTAACATTAAAACTACACAGTGGCCATAGTTTATATACAGTCTTTGCTTTCTCTTTATAACGTTATCACTCGCTATGACGTCAGTGCATGCTGCTGACGCCAAACCAGCTGAAAGCAGACTTGTTGTTGACAGAGTTATGTGCAGAAGTGTCTAACCTGATGGCCACACAGGTGTCCACACAGTTTTGGCCACGTCGCTGAGCGCGTGTGTTGTGATTTTGGTGAGCTGAGCCTTTATCGTAGAAAGTTCCAGGGTTGTTTGGGCTTTTGCAGTGAAGATGAGAAGAGTGAGGAGAGTGGGAGGTGAAGGGTGAGAAGGAGGGCAGGCTGGGGTGAGGTGGGCGATAAAAGAGGCAGAGGGGGAGGAGGGAGGACAGATGAAGCGCTTACAGAACGAAAGCGGTCGCGTTTAAACTCAACAGTTTCTCAGCACACAGCGAGCAGCGCCTCCTCCTCGTCTTCCCCCTCCTTCATCCTCCGTGCATCCATCCTCCTCCTCCTCCTCCGTTCCTCCTCTCCATGCCGGCGGAGGTCTCCGCGGGGCTGCCATGGCGAAGATCCGGGTGTCGTACGAGTACTCCGAGGCCGAGGACAAGAGCATCCGGCTGGGCTTGTTCCTGATCGCCTGCGGGATCCTCAGCCTCTTCATCCTGGGCTTCTGCTGGCTCAGCCCGACCCTGCAGAGCCTCCAGAGCAAGCCGGCCAACTGCACGGTGAGCCCGGCTGCCAGCTCCGAGCTGCCACCGCCGCTGCTGCCGGAGCCGCTGCCGTACAAGGAGGTGTAGTAGATGTAGTAGTAGTAGTCAGGTTAGTGGTAGTATTAGTTAAAATACACACTGAACCCGACTTTTCTTGTCGTTTGTTGTCGGGGTTCACGCTGTGCTGGTTTTCAGAGGTGTGTTTATGTGGAAGTAGTTTTAGTGAGGACTGCTGCTACCACACTTACTGTAGTACTGCTACTGCACTCAGTACACGCTGCAGTTAAATACTTTTGATATCACACAATACATTTCTAGGGCAGGCTTTGACTGTCTATAGTACTTCACTTTAAAATATTATTTTAGCACACAGTCTATTAATAGTTCTTCTATAAAAAGAAAAAAAATAACTTGCAGCCTACTGCAGGATACTGAGAGCTGTTAAGGATTTCAGCATTTCGCAGGAACTGCTGACACAACCAGGACTTTAACTGATTAATTACACACATTAAAAGTACATCAATCACAAGTACTGAAAAATAGTAAACATATGTCTGCTTTAGTGTTGCTATAAGGCTACTAACACTCAGCGGCAGCAGGGTGGCTTTACCTGGAGCCTAAATTAGTGATGTGACTGTGTAAGTGTGTTATTATCAGCTGTGGTATTAGTGGTTGATAAAGAGAGGAGTGCTTCAGTGTTAGTAAAATAATAAGTGAAGTCAGGACCAAAATAAATGCAGTTTTTAACAGAATACTGACATTATTTTCTTCATATGTGCACTCGTCTGCTTTCAGCTCAGTGTGGGAGTCTTTTTGCACTTATTTACAGTCTCCTTAGTTTCTCCTCACACACGGAGTGGAGTAGACACATTAAGCCAACTCACCACTGTACGTATGTCACCATGAGTTCAATAAAAGTGAGAAACACCTCCAGGCTGCCAACTCTCTGTTAGGTCTCCCGTTGCTGATGGTGGAGTAAACATTTCCATCGATACTCAATATCCAGATTTTGGAGTCAGGATCGGGACACGTCGGTATGATTGGAGATTTTATAAAGTATTAATGTTGATTCAGACAAAAAAAGTATTTAAGGGAAAATAATGTTGATTCCTGTGGATCTGGGTCCAGTATTTGCATTGTTTCTGTTTTTAATCATGTGAACTTAATGAATTCACAGCTTTTTGAAATTCTATGCATTAACTGGACAAAGCTGGAGCTTTACTTATAGGTGAAAGGATCCACTTGCCTCTTTTGTTATGCTGCAGTTTTTAGGAAAGTCCAAATTGTTTACTAGAAAGTCACTGACATATTTATTCTAGTATATTAGAAACTGTCCTATTTCTGTTCTGTCTGTACTTTTAACCATATGTTGCACTGACACACTGACGAGAAGCACCATGTCGAAGAATTCCTGGTGTTGAGATCAATATTGAAGGATTTCTGTGAGTTTGACTCAGATTATCTGTGCTAATCTCCTTCAGCCACTTGAGAAGTGTCCAGTAATAACTGAGGGCAAACTCTAATGCAGATCAGTTATCAGACTTTGATGGACAGTGAGGGGGATCCCACCGGTCTGACTGAGGTGATCTGACACAAACTGTCAGTGAACGCGGCCCTCGCTGTTGTTTCTAAATTAAAGTCATTCTGACAGCTGAGTCTAACATCTGTAGTCCAGATTCTATGTTAGTCTGAGGTTTTGCTAACTTTAACCTCACAGGTAACATGCTGTAGTTCTAGTTTAAGCCTCAAATTTGGAAAATGCTAACTGGATACCCAGCAGTCAGACATTTTTTATCCCCCAGAGGATTATTTTGAACTTTTGGTATTTTCTCTTCCATTTCCTGGAAACCATCCTCATAACTCTCTAAAACTACTTGGTATTAGTTGGTATTTAGCTATAAATTACAAGAAGATCACAGAGAAAGTCCTATACATGGGATATTGAGAAAGAATGACATTGTTATATTTGTGTTTTTTACAAAGAAAATACGTATTAATGCATTAGAAAAGCCAAATATTGCACTTAAACTGATCTTTCTTTCTTTTTTTCAAAGGTAACCTTCACAGCTGAAGTTTTACTCCTGCTTTATGCTTGGAAAGTTCCTAATTTGTAGTAGAAGGAGTTCTAGAAAAAACCCTAATATACCACTTGTAAAATCTGCAGTTTTCTCATGCAGTTCATGCAGTGTAGACACAGAAAGAAAGCATAACTCAACCTTAGTTGAACTTCAATTTCAGTGACTGTCTCTGCAGAATTAGAACATTTTAAGGTGCAACCTACATGTCTAGTAATGTTATGTTGACCTTGTCATTGTGTTGTTTTGATGTCGATGTTTCTAGTGGATCCAACCAGTTACAAACAAAGTTCTGTAAGATTCTTTAATCCTTCCATTGTGGGAATCCATGTTTTTGGATGGACCTTGCAGTGATGATGGTTATTTTTCCTGCCAGATTGATGGACCACGGCCAAAATTAAAGCCTTGTTAAGCTTTTACTCAGAGAAAGAAGGCTGACCTTAACATTTCCCTAAGCTCATCGTCTTTTTCTTGCTGTTAACTATTCAGTTCAGTTCAATTCAATTCAATTTTATTTATATAATGCCAAATCAGAAGCTTAAACGCTAGATTGACAAAAGCTTATATTAACAATCATTTAAGAATCTACTTTTATTTCTAGAGAGGAACTTCGTTCCATATGACGTTTCTTGAGATTGTTTATCTTCACCAAACCCATTTCTCAGGGAGTAAGACTTTCAGATGCAGAGGAACTTTTAGAATGGAACTACAGGTTAATCAAACAGATATTCAGTGATTTAAAATTCCGATGTTCTCAAATATTGTCCGGTATTGTTTTTTTCTTTATGACACACAAAACATAAACAGGCTTCTCTGATATTTGTTATGTGTACATATTTATTTAAGTTCCAACACGTGTTATTAGCAGGGAAGTTCCTAAGTGCCCTCTGGTGGACAAAGACAGTGCTACGTATAATGTTTTTGAAGGGTGTTTTATTTTCCCTTTTTAAATTTCGGAAGGTAGCCAATAATATCGTCCTGCTTATAAATTGGCCGGGCTCAAGGTGGAACTTGGAGTGCTTTATGCTGTTTTACAGTATTTTGAGCTTCACAGAATATCTTTTGAAAGAAGGGCAAGTTCATATTCTTTTAAGCCTTTATCTAGAGGAAGACACCCAGTAGGAATTTGAAACGACGAGCTTGAATGAGTCAACATTTTGACAAGTTCGTCATCATTTTGTTGCTTTTCTGATGCTTCAACTGACTAATTTACCTGCAGCTGCATCTTGGTAACTTCTAAAGCTATTTTGCATTGTCTTGTTGCTGAATAGGAGGCCACCACTGTGCAATCAGAGGGATGATTGCTGTGAGAAGAAGGCAGTATAATTACTTTGTGAGATATTTTTACTGAAAGGGAGACAAACTTCTGTCTATTACCTTCAGTCTTAACAAACTCCACTGCCATCAGAAACATATTGAGAAAACACAAGCAGCCAATCAGTTTTTCTAGTTTCAGCTTTTTGTTCATGTAGCGAATCCATCTATTATTTTCAGGGGAATCTTTTTTGGTCACAGACGGTGTCTCTGAATCTCCTTCCAGACATCTCAGTTGTTTCATTTTTAAACTTTTTCTTCGATTCATATGCAGCAGGTCGGTCTGGTGTTCTGCTCACTGGCAGCTGTTTCCCCAGTTGGTAAAGCCAATCAGCATTCTCCTGCTTCGGAGCCAGAGAACCAGTGACAGAAAAATGGCAACAAGCCTGAATGAGATCAAGACAGCTGTGCAGGTTTTGTACGTTGAATTTCCCAAATAACAACTCGTAAATCTCAGTGTTTCTTCAGATATCCTGGTCACGGATTCTCCGTCTTTAAAATGGATAAATTAGATTGAATGAATCAATATTTCCATTTAGAGCTCCTGCTGCTCTCAGAATACAAAATTACCCTTTAAAAAACTTCTCGTTGGGTTCAAACATTCCTCTTCTTGCTGTACATGGCAGAAGAAAAAAACATGACCATTAGTTTTGACAGAAACTAAAACATATTGTTTGAAATCACAGCTCAAGCAGCCTGAGGCCTTTAATGATTGAGTTAGTCATTTATTTAGATTTTTGTTGTCAGGACCAGTGTTGGTCAAGTTACTTGAAAAAAGTAATCAGTAACTAATTACTGATTACTTCCCCAAAAAAGTAATCCCGTTACTTTACTGATTACTTATTTTCAAAAGTAATTAATTACTTAATTACTTAGTTATTAAAAACATGATTTACAACCTGAAGAGGTGATAAAGCGATAGATCTTTCAGCCCAATTCTACTTTTTCTACATAATCCATCATACAAAATGTAATCAAATGGAAAAGTCTCTTTTTTTTAACTTGTTTTATCAGTTTTAATCTTTTAACTTTATGCATCAAGCAAAAATTTAATTATATGCAACATTCTCTGAGTTGAATAAATGAGTTTAACATTTAAACCTATTTTCTACTCAAAGTAAGGTCAGTACTTCCACGCTGCACGCTCATACTCTCTCCCACAATCGATATGTGATCCATTGTTGATCTGCACACAGCTGTTGTCACTAACGGCACACTCGCTTACGTCACTGTCGTGAGACATTCTTAGTAACGCAGTAACGCAGCGTTCCTACGGGAAAGTAACGGTAATCTAATTACCGTTTTTGCAATAGTAATCCCTTACTTTACTCGTTACTCGAAAAAAGTAATCAGATTACAGTAACGCGTTACTGCCCATCTCTGGTCAGGACAAAGCGTCCACCTTTAGCTGTTTCGGTTCGCTCGTGCTGCATCACTTTCCGCTCTGGATCGTTAAAAGTGTTTGCACAGCGTTTTGAAGCCATTGGGACTTCTCATGGTATAAATTACAGGCAGCCACAGCCTGCACTCCCAGCTGTTTACTGTGGATGATGAATTCATACCGGCCTGATTTATTTGGCTTTTAGCTTATTGCATCATTTTGGAATAATGTTCATGCATTACGGAGACTGGAAGTCCAAAGTCATGTGGCAGAGAGCACGTCTGCTCTGTCATTCACTGATCCATTGCTTAATAACACATCAATCACGATGGTTCGACATTATTGCAGCTTTGTGACCTCTTGAGTGATGAAGCGGTCTGACTTTTATCAGATCTGCAAAGACTGACTGATTATTTCTCATGGACATTGATATTTATTTTCATGCCCGAGGTCGTTGTTTGAGTCCAGTAATGAGCCGGTAGACAAGTTTCCGCCATCGCTCATCATTAACATCCAGACATATAAAAGATTTAGACTGTACTCTGTGTCCACACATTTTTAAAAGCTGCATGAACCAAAGTTCCCACAGATATAAGTGTTTACTAAAAACTGATGCTGACTGAGCCTCAAGAGAGCTGCTGCTCCCACTGCAAGGATGTGGACTCCATCAGAGGCTGTGCAGAAAGCACAGTCTCCTCTCGAGCGTGGAGATGTAGTTGGACACGTTCAGCAGGACAGGACAGGACTTGGATTTGGGACAAGTTGAGCAATGTGGCACAAGTCCATCTCAGATGCTGGGCCAGTGAACCAGCTGGGAAAAACTGAAACATCACAAGCTCAACTGGAAGGATCTCTGGAAAATGGAAGGAAGCAGACTCAGCTTTATAATCAGAGTCACCTACAATATCCTCCCTACAGCCCAAAACGTCCATTAGTGAAGTGGAGACGACCATATGTATGCTCTCTGCCAAACTCCAGCAACTCTCAGGCAAAAAAAGCCTGTCCCAAGGCCACAACACCTAGAAATGTACAACTTCCACAACCAGGTCCTGCAACAAATGGTGATTATCTCATTATCTCATTATCTCATTATCTCAAGGAAGGAAAACTGATGCCAATGCCCTCGCTCCTACAGTGGTCTGAATACCAAGCCTCATTCCCTTCATGAGAGCAGGAGAACTTCTTGTGAAGTCATCGGCAAGAGTAAGCATAACCCTGGAAGATGCAGGTCAACCCTGATCACACTGGTCTTTCTGATAGGAACAATAACTAATCTCAGGCCAGACCTCATGTTGCGATCAGCTTTGCAGAAGATATTAGACATTCTGGAACTAATGGTACTTTGGGAATCTGGAGTTGAAGAGCCATATGAATGGGAAAGCTTGTCATAATAGCAGCTCAGGCAGAATCTTGCTGTGGAGGTTGAGTGTAGAGGGCTTATTGTCAAGACCAAAACTCCTGAAGAGGATGGGAGTGCGAGGGCACTGAGTGAAGTAGTGACTGGTTGTGGATCAAGAAAAAGGACGCCAGGTGTCATGTTGAGTCCTCTGGAGGTATTGTGGAAATAAAATCAATGAAATACTGAGGATGGAAGATGCCCATCTGATGACCCTAATGAAGCAGTTACTGCTCACCCACTAAGGACCCCAGGCAGGAAGCAGTGCTGATTACTCAAAGGATTGAACCATCAAGTCCTATAAGCTCCACTGAGTCAGAGTTCCTGTATTTGTTTTTAAATCCTTAAATGGTATTTACCCCGAGCTCTCAGGTCATCTAACCAACTGCTGCTACATATACAGAAATCTAAGTGGAAACTCAGAGGGGACAGGATTCTCTATCGCTGCCCAAAGGTTATAGAATAAACTGTCTTTGCATGGTAAACAGTCACCTCAACAGTCCATTTTTAAAACTCATCCTAAACACATTTTTCCTTCCCAGGCCTTCAAATCAGCATGATACATTCAAATCATGTTATTTTTACCTTAATCCAACCTTCGGTTAAAAAACCAAACAAAACATTCAAATTTACCTCACAGAAAATTGGACAATTAGCAAATATGTATATTTCAAATAAAATTACCAGTAAAAGATGTTATTTTTCAACGAATCAGCTATCAGAATCGACGCAGTCCACTAACATATCCATCACTAATCGTGTGCTCCCCCTCTTGCAGGTGGTGTCGGTGTTGCGTCCGGAAGAGATGTTTGAGTGCGTGTTCACATGTGGAGCAGACTGTAAGGGAACGTCGCTCTACCCCTGCCTGCAGATCTTTGTCAACAACTCCGAGTCCAACTCTGTGGCTCTGCTGCACTTTGACGAGCAGCAGCTGGTCCTCAACCCAAAGGTAACGACACCTCGTTTTACCGTGTGACGTGAAGGCGTGAGCGGCATGTTTTTTATAATGTTTTTCTTTATCAGTTAGGCTCTGATGATGCTGAGCTGCTGTCCTGATAGTCCGAACTACTTTGTATCCGCTGTTTGGTCATTAAAACAGAGACGCTCATCGTGTTTCAGTGCTAAAGAGGATTTTATTGAACCTGTTTATTTCCTTCATTTACTTTTTAAATTAGCTCTCACATCAGATAAGCTGTATTCTCCAGTTTGAAGCATTTAATGTCAGCTAATTGATTCATTGATTAATCCTTTCAGCCCATATGACAGCTCATTCTGTGGATGAAATAGTTTATTAAAAAATCAGCTGTTCCAGCTCTTATATCAGACAAATCAACAGCCAGCCTTTTTGAACGTTTGTGATCAGATTGCCCACACGACCTTTAAAGTCATCTTCACCTTTGGAAGCATTGCTGCTACTTTCAGATCACTTCCTGTTCACTTACTGTGTGCACTTGGTTGAGGGCTATTGCTAATGTTTAGAACTGGGTCTTCTTCTACAGCCCAGAGACCAAACAGCAGGTTTCAGTCAAAAAGTTGTACAGTTTGCAGTCAGGACAGTTGTTCTTCGGTTTGTTTGTGTTTTTCAGGATTCGTTGGTTTGTCCAGATCTCCAGGCTCAAAGTCTCATATTTGACTGATGCCAGTGCTAGCTTTGTATTAAAGGCTGGCTTTTAAAGGCCAGTTTTACAGCCTTTAAATGAAACTAATAAGCTTTGCACTGTGAATCAGTGTTGCTATTACACATCTGAATTGGGGCAGACCTGAAAACCAAGGCTGTTGGATTCAAAATGTCTGAATGATTATGGACGATAATCATCGTGTCATGAAATAACACGTAAGCTCATACGAGTGCTTAAAATTTGATTTACCAGTCTCTCTTTTCACAGATCATTTATTTTAGTACAATACACCTCACCTCACCGACGGTGTGAGAGATTTCACTACAAGCTTAATTACTGACCCTTCATTTAGCATCACAATGAGTGAAGAGTGAAAAGCTTTAATTCCTGCTGCCAAATGTGGAGATTTACAGCAGCTCAAACTACAAAATATTAACAGTGAGGCTGCCAATTACTCAGAAATGAAGTACTCTGAGTACTCTACAGTGGTATTTGTACTGCACGAACACCCCTAAGTTGTAATATCTTGAGGCAAATGCAATAATCCGGGAAAGCTGATTGTGTTCACTGAGAACGCCGCCTCCGGATGAACACAAACAACTGTCTGAGTTTTAATGGCAGCAACAACATATCAGGCAATCACCATATTAGGGATATCTGCTCTTGGTGACATCATACAGACCCAAGACTGGAAATTTGATGTGAAACTTAACATTTAGCTAATGGGTATAACTGTAGCCACATTATTTAAATCTTTGGCCATGTTTCATATGAACGTCACCACTGAAACAGCAGATTTAGGGCAGGTTTAAAGTAAGTAGTTTGAGTACCCTGATAAAAGGTGGTCTACGCCTCAGTGGGTCAGAGGTTAACTCATTCACTGCCAGCCATTGGCAGTGAATGAGTTAAACCCATTGACTCATTCACTGCCATTGACGGCTATAGACGTTAAATGGCTGAAATGAGGAAAAAATGGAAGTGTTGCAGTGATCTTGCCATATTTTGCTGTTTTAGTTCCATCTGAGTGTCAGGAGATTTTCAGTCTGATTGTTTTTGTATCGCAGCATCTAAAGTCAGAGGTGAACCTAAACAGATCCGCTCACTGTGTGAATGAAGGACTCGGAGCGCCATTAACAACCAGCTGATGGTAAACACTGCACAGCTGTGTGACTCCGGGTCTGAGGGCTGGCTGTTTACAGTTTGAACCCCTCCGGGTTTCCACTTTAGCTGTGTGGGTCATGAAAGAAAGCACATCCATGTAGTCAGGTTCAATATCTGGTGAAACCAAAACAGCTGAATCTTTCATAGCAATGACACGCTTGCATAATCTGGATGGGTCCACATAAATTTGGATAAATAGTGCAGAAAACCCCCCACGAGGAGCCAAAAGGACAATATGCAACAAAATAATCAAACAGCAACAGAGATAAACACAGAAGTCTGTGCTGCTGCTGCTTCTTCTTCTTTGGTGCATGCCTGGGTCGTCGCTACAGCAACAGAGTAAATATAGAGGGGAGAGACGGGGCGTCATCGATGCTGCTCAGTCGCCATGGCAACCCATGATGTGGAGATGGAGAAACGGAGAGAGAGCGAGAGAGAGAAGTCACGCTTCATTCAGAAATCCTTTAATGTCGAGAGAGAGAGGCTGAAAATTGGAAAAGGACGGATGTCGCACCGCTCGTCGGCTGGGTGACCTTTACATGTAACTGAAAAAGGGGTGGGCGAGGGTTGGAGGGGAGGGTTCCTCGCTTCAAATATAAAACCTTTATTGCTCCGTCTCCTTCAAGACCAAAACATCATTAACATGTTGGCAAAAAGACAAAAATGAGCTTGTTGGCGGGTCCTCAGCCTGCCTCACAGCGTCATCAGCTCCTCACAGATTCCTCAATGTAAACATCCAGATTCATAACGGGAATAATAAGCGCGTGTGCATCACACACACACAGGTATACAGCGATCATAAACAGATAGGTGCACCGAATGAAATATGATTTCATTTGGTGCTCACTTCCTCCTCCACGGGTTTGTTTTCAGACTCTTACAGCAGCTTTGTATGATTCATAGTTAAAAATAAGCCATATCTTATCCTGGGCCTCAAGCAGCCCCTTCGTCTCAAATAAGCTATAAGACAGCACAGAAGGTGGGCAGGGCTTCTGTGCCCAAGATGACCATCTTAGGGTTATATCTTTGTGTGACATCAGAAAGATCCAAGAGGAAAAAAAAACCATGAAACTGAGTGTTCAGAGACGTGCTACACAGAGTGCTGTTTGAATATAATACCAGTGCTGGGTTCTGGTTGTACGGTCGCCATGTTTCACATGGCTTAACATGGGGCCGGTGATTGGAACAGTGGGGTGGTGGTTTGATCCCGGGCTCCTCCAGTGAACAAGTTTAAGTGTGTGAGTCTGAGTGCAGTAATTAGAAAGCACTTAAAGAATACAGTGTTTTGTGATTAAAAACCTCTTTGAGTGCTGAGTTTGTGTGGAAAATTTGCAGTTAGACGGTTATGGTTGAAATTTGAATTTTACTCTATGTTCAGCAACAAGGAGAAACCAACAACAGCTCCGCATTTCTGTTCTTGGACTTTAAAACAGCAGCTTTGCTTGATCCACAGTTCAAAATAATCGTTCTTTAACATACACTGGTGCAGGCCCTCAGTCTGAAGTGAGCTGTAAATTTCCTCAGGCTGGCTGTCCCTCATAAACAGGAGGCGTATGGAACTCCCATGACTAGATTATTAGAACTTCAAGGAGGTGTTATCAAGCTGTCTTTATGAACATTTTAACATGGTTAAAACCCTGAATGGAAGTTTGATAACATTTGAAGGATTTTTTTTAAGAACTGTAAAAATGTATAAAACTTAGAAATTACAAAATTACAAACATTCAAAAAATTGGAATTTTCACATTTCTAATTTTGTAAAAACACAAGAAAAACAAAAAAAACAATCAACCAACACAAAAACACGTATTTAGTTTTTCAGTTCTGTGTCTGTAATTCATGCAGTCGATGGATAGATCCAGCTGACATCAGCTGATAACTTAGCACTCCAGCTTCTTGTTCAAATACGGTCACTTCTGGCTCTTTCTGGTGCTCAAAATGCTAAAGTTTAGGCTTCAAATGGCCAAATGTCCACAGCAGATGGGTGATCAGGGTGCTGGTGTGTCTTTTATATAGAGCATATGGTTTGGGGCAGTGCAGTAATAGATGGTTTGAACCACAGCTGTCTTAAGCAGCTTTCATGTGGTCTCAGATGACAAAGATTGTGAAACTTTGTCGTGATATTTTTCCTCTCTGAAGCTGTTTGGACTTCAGCTCATTGTAAAGGCAGATGAAACGATAAAAGGCTGTGTGCTGCTAGCTCTGCAGGGGTATAAAAAAAGACAGCGCTGGGATTTTAGCCAATCATGATTTTAATAAATGACATATCGGCAGAATGTGTCTTCAGGGCCACAGCAGATCTCAGACGAGCAGGCGAGACGCATCGATATGTCTGTTTGGTAACCTCTCAGAAGGTTATTGTAGACGACACGCACACACCGGCTGCAGATACACAAAGTGACGCACACCTGCTGAACCACTTCATGTTTATTGGGGTCAGGAGTTCATTTCATTTTTGTTGGAGGAGAAATGAACTGTGAAGACACGAGCAGAGAAATGAGCTGCAAGAGATTTTATACTCAGCGTGTGTATTTAAGTGTACTCGCCCAGCTATTCTCATGAGGACTCGTGTCATTTTCAGACCTCGTAAGGACCGTGGGGTAAAAGAAAGGTCATTTTGGCCATTTGTGATTTTGGGTTGCTTCTGGTTATGACGTGGTTTGAGAATTGTCACAAAAGCAGAAGTGAAATATGTGTGTTGGGCATGTCTAGCTCTCAGCTTGTGTTTAACCACGAACTGATAAGCTGGTGTTTCTGATCAGATAACGACTCAGACCTGCAGCTTTAATTAAAACCTGACAATCTCTTACGTGTGTGCCTACATTACTGTGTGTGTGTTCGTGCATCACTGCGTAAATCCAAGCGCCGTGTTCACTTGATTCAGCAGGTGTGAAAACAAATATGTGGCTGGATATGCTCTCCGTTTCCTAATTTAAATCTCTGAAGGTGACATGAAAAGTGCAGCAGGAAGGTTGTTGGAGAGCTCGGAGAAGACTGTTGCATTTTAGTCCCATTACATTAAGAATACTGATAAGTACTGATACAGATCAATGGAGCCAGTATTGATAAAATCCTGATGATAGCTATCTGTAATCCTCAGATGTGCAGATATTGATTTGACTTCTGTTTACTGCATTATTCTTAAAGCACCTCAGTTTTCCTGCCTTTG